CCTGCACGTCCACAGTCCTGAAGGATTTATAGCCCTGTGAACCACCATCCACTTCCCCAAAAAAGGCCCTTGGGGAAATCCCTCCCAGGGCCAGACTGGTGATTCAGGTCTAAAGCAGTGAAGACAATAGGCCCCCGAGCCTGGAGCCTGAGGGGGCCCTCTGCCTCCGTAAGATCAAAGGTGCTCCTGGGGCTGAGTGATCCTGGGCCAGGAGAGGGGGCCGGGGGGAAGCTCTACCCAAGGAGGAAGCCCCTTTACCCAGGTATTCTTGGGGAGGCAATCCCTTTTCAGAGGTCCCGAGCCTAGGTTCAAAGGCTGGTGGGGGGTGAGCAGTTGACAACAGCAGGGAAAGGGCCTAGATCAGAAAATGGGGGCTTCCTGTTGATGGAGGGGGGCCCCGGCCCACTGCCTGGCTCCCCATCCCTCTTCCTCACCCAAGTCTGAGATTCCCAAACTGCCACGGAGGCCCGCACCCCATGCGCAGTGAGAGGAGGAGAGAGGAGAGCTGTCAGAGCCTCGAAGGAGACCAGAGGCGTTGCCGCGGGGACGCACAGCTCCGCACCCTCCCGAGAGAGAGGGAGTGGTGGAGCTGAGGCTATTGGTTAACCTTGTCTTACATGCCCCGTCGCCCCAAAGGCTAGGCTTCCCTCCAGGGAGCTCTCTCTCCCTAAACTCGTCGGGAGATCCTGGCGCAAGAGAGAACAAGGGCTCCATTCCGACACCATCTCTTCTTTCCCTCTCATCTCAGGGGTGGCGGGTGGCTCCACAGGACCCCCCCCCACCCCCACCCCCGACACCGCAGATTGCGCTCTCATGGAGCCCCTTTGCAATTCATTTCTCAATTCTGCCCCCCGCCCCACCCTCCTCCTGTTCTGGGCATCACATGGACACTCACGGTAACTTAGGGGCCTCTTCACTCTCTTGAAAGAAGGGTCTTTGTTCTGCTTGGAAATTAAGTTCTTAGGGAGCAGCCTGGGAGGAAAGAGAAAACGAAATGGGACAGAGGATCAGCGGCCACTGCCTGGGAAAGAGACGCAACCCTCCGAGTGGGGACGCTGGAGTCAGCGCACACTAACGCGCATCCTAAATTGTCCTCGCTCCCAGGCTACCTCCACGGCCCGCCCCAACCCTAGGCGTCCCGAGGCCCCCCGAGGCCCCCGAAGTCCCCGAGGCCCCCGAAGCTCCCAGAGACACCCCGAGGCCTCTGAGGCCCCCGAGGCCCCTGAAGCCCCCAGAGACGCCCGGAGGTCCCCACGGGCTTCTCCAGAGGCGAGAGCGCTGCTCCCGGGCCGCGCCAAAATGGTCCAAGTCAGGAATCCGGGCACCTTGGTGGCTCAAGCACCTTGCGATGCTGCTACCCTGATCCCAAACCAGGGCAGT